GTCCGCGGTCGTATCCCTCCGTCCTCCCTCCTTCGTCGTCCTTCCCTCCCCCTCCCCTCCTTCCTTACCCCCTCCTCCCTCCTCCCTCCTCCCTCCTCCCCCCCCCCCCCCCTCCCTCCCACCTCCGCCCCCCGGCCCCACAAAGTTCTTCTGGTGCTCCTACCTCCCTTTCAACTCTTACCCTCCTCTCCTACCCTCCTCCTATCCTCTCCCCCAGCCCCGTACTTCATCCCCCCTCCTACCTGCGCGTGCTCAGACTTCTCCCGGTCACCCTCCCCTGCAGGTGCTGGGTGCCGTTTGTCGCGGGGTGCAGCTGCAGGTGGCGCCGATGGTAGTAGGTCAGTCCCTCCCTTGTGTCGTGATGAGTCTGACCGGGCCGAGCTGGGGTAGAGCTTGGCCCGCACGATGCTGGAGACGCAGCAAGGAGGAAGGTTGTCTACGCGTCCGTCATCCCTGGTAGTCGGAGCTGCTCTGCTCCGATCCAGTCCTTGATACCGATGCAGTGGCTGAGGAGGAGGAGGGGAAGAGGGAGGGAGAGGGATCGGCGAGCAGAGGAGAGGAGGTAGGAGCTGCCACACTTGTCAAGGATGCTGACGTGCGGGAAGGAGGAGGAGCAGCTCGTCGAGTGCTGCATCGACGCCCTCAAGTTTCGCGTCTGGAATGTCGTGACGCAGGTGCCGCTGCTGTCTGAGCGAAGCGAAAGAGGCAGAAAGACGCCTGAAGGTCCGTGAGGGAGAAGGAGAGGAGAGGACGGAAGAGGAGGGAGGGAGAGGGAGAGAAGAAAGGGGAGGGAGGGGAGAGGAGAGGAGGGAAAAGCGAAAGGGGAGGGGAGGAAAAGGACAGGAGGGAGGGAGAGGGGAGAGGAGGGGAGGTGCAGCAAGGAAAGGAGCGGAGGGACAGAGGCTTGTCTGCATCTCACTTTGAGTTTCATCAGCTGGGATCGCGTTTGCCGTCATCCAGCAACTTCCACAGCTCCACATCTCCGGCCCTGACCTGTCAGGTGTTGTCCTCTCCCTCCCCTCCCTCCTCTACTCCCCTCCTCTCATGTTCTCCTTCCTCCTCGCCTCCTATCTCCACCTGCTCCCTTCCCCTTCCTTTATCTTCCCTCTTCCTCCCTCCTCCCCTCCCTCTCCTTCCTGTCTAACCTGCAGCATGCAAGGGGTCGCGCTAGCAGGCGAAGTAACCACGGGCGTCCTCTTCCTCGAGAACGTCGGGGGGGCACCCGTGGAAGTATTGGAGGTAGGGAGCTGGAGAGGAGCTCGGAGAGGGAGCAAGTGAGCATCCCTCCAGGTGAACACAAAGGGGCTGCGAGTGAACGAGGAGGCGCTGAAAGCCTCGCTGCCGCTGAATCGAGGTAGATCCCAAACTTCCTCCCCATCCCTACTCCCCCCTCCCGCCTCCCTCCTCCCTACTCTCTTCTCCTTCTCCCCCTCACACTTGTGGTCTTCCTCCTTTTGCTGGAGATGCTCGCTATCAAACTCCCTCCTCTACTTCGCTTGTCTGCTTGAAATCTCAAGGCGTGTGCTAGGGAAGGCAGTAAGAATCGACTACTGGGCTTCCGCTGAGGCCCCTGGGAGAGGAGGACGACGCTCGTCGAACGCGTTCTCGAGGCTGGAGGAGGAAGGCAACGCCGGAGGAGAGGAGCAGGAGGTAGAGGTCCAGATTCTGTACGCACGGAAGAGAGAGCGAAGCTTCTGGAGGAGGCTGGTATGGAAGGTGAGACGTCGTTGGTATCGGGGAGAGGAGGGAAGGGAAAGAGCAGGAGAAGACGTGGGGAAACGAGAGGGAAGGGAGAGGAGAGAAGAGGGAGAGGAGAGAAGAGGGAGAGGGGAGGGGAGAGGGAGAGGGAAGGGGAGAGGGAGAGGGAGAGGGGAGGCGGAGAGGGGAGAAGAGGGGAGGGGAAGAGGCAGGGAGGAGGCAGGGGATCTATTGACATGCTTCTTCAGACTACGAGGGCAGTCGAGCCTTCCGTTGAAATTTCCAACGCTCGGATTCGCGAATGTTGGGCAGCTGACGCGCATCTGGAGGAGAAGACGATGATAATGGAGGCTTGCTCGAGAGCCGACGAACCTCTTGACGAGCATCACAAGCTGAGCGATGTCATTCCCCGGTATGTCAGCCCTCCTTGTCCTCCTTGTCCTCCTTGTCCTCCTCCTCCTCCTCCTGCCTCCTTCTCCTGCTGCCCTTGCTGATGCCTAGCTTCTGCCCTTGCCCTTGCCTCTGCTACTGCTCTTACTTCTTTGTGTGTTTTAACTCATCCCCTCTCTCGTTGCTCAGGTTTGTCGCTTCAAGCATCAACCTGCCACCCCCTGCCTTCACGACCTGCCTCGTCGAGGTTCCTCTGACCCCGTCAGCTTCCTCGGGTCACGCGGAGTTGGCAGGCGAGTCTCGAGCAGCAAGGCTGTCAAGCAGCTCTGCTGAAGCTGGACGTCGTCAACCACTCCAACCTACTCCTGTCCCTCCTCGTCACCGTCCTGCCTCAGCTGGTCCGGAGCTGCTCTCTCGTCCTCTCGACTTCCTCTTACCTGCTGGCAGTGCGTCTCCTTCGGCGGAGACGCGGACGGCGCAAGCAGCAAGACGTTCTCCCTGCTCCCGCGCTCGGTCAAAAGAGTCGCGCTGCTCATCAAGAAGTTCGAGACTCCAGCTGAGGTGACTCCCCTGGTCCCTCTGACCCTCCTGACCGTCTGTGGAGGAGGCGGGCAAGGACGACGTCCCGCCATTGGGGCAGCGGGTGAGAGTTGAGAGCTAGCGAAGGGGAGGAGTGACCCGGTGGACAGGCGCTAACTGAGGAGGAGAAGAAGAGAGCAGCAGCTCGGCGACAGCTGGACAGGTTCGAAGGCCCGCGAACTTGAGCCGAGGTGCGGTGACGGGCAGCAGGATGAGGGACGTTCTATTCTCCCACCTGAGAATCAGCTGGAGCTCGTCGGGGTCTCGTCACGGACTTGTCAACCTGCTCGGCATGCAGCTGGAGGCTGCCGACGTCAGTTGCTTGAGACCCGCCAAGGTGCCGAGGGACGCGCCTGTCTACCAGCTGCTGACGTGGCAGCAAGGTCTGGTTCCATGCCTCCTTCGCGTCTGAGACCGCTGCTTCCTCTGGCGTTGCTGCTCCTGAACGGGAGACGGCGTTCAGTTTGGTGACCGGTGAGAGGAGAGCCCAGGAGGAGGCGGAGGAGGAGGAGGACTGGGGAGAGCAGGGGAGGAGGAAAGAGGGCTGAAGAAGAGGAGGAGGGCTTCGTTGTTTTGACTCTGTACAGGGAACTTCTACACCTGCTCGATCTCGCTCTTCTCCTTCTTGTCCTCCTCCCCTCCTCTGCACCTCATGGCAAGCTGACGCTCGTTCCGTCTCGCTCCCTGACGCCTCCAACAGATTGAGATCCGTCGCGGAGGATGGAGCGACTCCTCGTCCCTCGCCCGTCTCCATGACCCTCCTGTGTGTGCTCCTCTTCTCTCCTTGCACCCTCCCCGCCCTCTCCTCCTCACCCTCGTGAAATCTCTCCTCCCCTCCCTCCCCCGCTTCCATCCTTTCCTCCGTTGCTGCTGCTGCACGCCTTCTCCTCCTTGTGATTTCTTCCCGTCCTCTACCCATCCTCCTCCTCCTCCTCCTCCTCCTCCTGCTCTGACTCGACGACAGGATGGTGTCCTCGTCGCCGGAGCACTCTCCTGTACATTGAAGGCGAACGGGGACACAAGTCCAGCTGCTGTCCACCAGGTGATCGCGAATTTGCTCCGTTACAAGGTTGACACGTGGAGCAGCTGGGAATCTGTTTCCTCGAGGCGGGCTCGTACACTCTCTTGGCCTCCTGCTATGACAAGGATGGGTCAGTCGTAGCCCAGCTGGTGACCCAGCTCGACTCTGCCTGACTTGCTTTTCAACAGGAAGGAAGTCCTCTTCGCAGGCCCTCTAGCCTCCATCTCCGCAGAGCTGCCCCGGAGCAGCTGAGCTAAAGAGCCTGCACAGCCGCTGCTGACTCCAATTCTGCGGCCCAGGGCCTCGCTCTTGGGAGCGAGCTGGGAGCTGTTAGAAGAGAGGAGCTGGAGGTATCGGAATGAAACATTCGTGTCATCTCAGTCACCTCACTGTGCCCCGCGACTTCCGCACTTTCAACCTTCAAGTCTCCACCACCGTCCGACTGAGGCTCGGCCCGGGCCGGGGAACTTCGGAAGTGACCCAGTCCGGCACTAGTGACTGAGCCGCCGCTCAGGCCTGACCGCCGGGCCCGGCCGCCGGGTCACGGTCACGTGACTGAGAGGAGGAGTTGAGTGAAATGTGTGGGTCTAATTTGGTGTCAAAGGGAACAAAAAAGACTGACGAGGAATGAGGAGGACGGTAGAGAGGAGAGAGGAGAGAGGAGCGAGGAGAGGAGAGGAGAGGAGAGGAAACGGGCAAGGTTAGACAGGAGAGGATAGACCATGTAGGATAAGATGAGACTGAAGATGGCAGGGTGAGACCGGGCAAGACCAGTCGGCTATAAGGGTTGAGAGTCACTGGAGGGGTGAGAGGGTACTGGTGTCGAAGAAGGGTCGTGCAACGATGAAAGGAGGGAAGATGGAATGATAACGATGGAAAGAGGACCAGAGAACAACTCTTGTTGAACAGGAGGCGTCAAACAACATACTAAATGCTGAAGGCTGCTGCTTCTGCTGATCCTGCTGCCGCTGCTCCTGCTGATCCGACCGTTGTGTCAGGCCTTGTTGATGGAAGAGAAGCAGCAATGACGAGCGGGGAGGGAGGAGGGAGTGAGAAGCTCGTCTCGCTCATCAAAGCGCTCAAGGAATGCGTGGAGAAGGAGCTCTTGATGTAGGTGCGAGGGCTGCCGTCTCGTCGGCTGACGTAGCGCAGGGGCGAGACCATTCTGTCGCACGAGCTTGTGCTCAAGGACCAGGAGGAGAGCGTGAGGAGGCTGGAGCAGAGCTTTGCGGATCAGAAGGACCGCATGCGCCGGCTGTGTTCCTACCTGCACGAGAAGCAGACGCTGGCGGCTGACTGCCTGCAGGAGCAGCTGGATGGCGTGCAGACCGTGGTGTACACGCGCCGAGGGGAGGAGGAGAAGCATCTGAACATGGAGAGCCAGGCAGGAGCAGCGCGACTCGTCCGTCTCGTCCTCCTCGTCCTCTGCCTTCTGTTTCTCTTCCTCGCCGTCGCTCATGCCTGCATGGAAGGGCTGTCAGTGGGGGACGCAGCTGCGGGGTTCCGTTACGAGGCGCTGCTGCTGTGGGGGGGGAGGGTGGTAGAGGGCGTCCTGACGCCCGTCCTCTTTGCTCAGCTTGCTGCCTCCTTCCTCCGCTCTCGCAAGATCTGCCATGCTGGCTGGGTCGCTGAGCTGGAGACGCTGGCGAGATGGGCACGCTGCCTCCTCTTCTTCTGCGCCGCTGTCACCTGCCTGTCGAACCTCCAGGTCTGCAGCGTGCTGAGGAGGGAGGGGCTTCATAGGAGGATGATGGTGGGCTACCGAGAGCTGGTGTGCGGAGGAGGAGGATTCATCGATCCCTGGGGAGCGATAGACACGTTCCTCACCAGCCTCCTCCTCCTCCTCCTCCTCTCCATCCACTGGAGCTTCTCCTCCTCTTCCTCCTCTGTCCTCCTCTTCTTCGTTGTCGCCTCCTGTGCTCTACGATGTGCAGCGACGGCCTCGATGTGCAGCGACAGCGTGTGGACGGAGGGAACGAGGAGCCGGGTGGCGAACTGGCTCCTCGTGGGCAGTTACGTCGCGCACATGGGCATGTGTGTTTGCGTCCTCCTCCTTCAGGGTCAGTGCCATCCCTTGATGTCTCTCCCGCTCAAGCTTCTCCTTCCTGCACACCATATCCCCCTCTCCCTGCTGCTGCTGCACCACCACCACCACCACCACCACCACCTCCTCCTCCTCCTCCTCCTGACTTCTCTCCCCCCTCCCTCCCCTTCTGACTTCTCCTCCTCCTGTATGTCCTTGTTTCAGGTTCTCCGCATTTCAGGCGTGCGGTCGAGAAGGAGGAGGAGGCGTCCTGCATGAAGAAGCAGCTGGCAAGGAACGTCTATCTCAAGGAGGCGGTGGAGGCCCAGGATCCTCCGCTGATAGCAAGGAGGAGGAGGTTTGAGCTCGATCGCATGCTCGAGAGCGACGAGCCCTCCCGCACCAGCAGGGGAGGAGCTGGGGCCGAGGACTCGTTGAGCCTGGTGTTAGCTGAACTGGGGATGGACGAGGGAGGAGGAGGAGGAGGAGGATGTGCGCGGGGAGTGAGGGAGAAGATGAACGAGAAGATGAAGGGAAGAATGGAGGATGTGGACGGGAACTCAGAGGAGGCGCAAGTGCCCCAGATCAGACCCACAGGAGACGAGGCACGGGGTGAAGGAGGAGGAGGACGAGGAGGAGATCGCAAGAACAGGTTCGATCGCATCCTCACTCGCGACGTCACAGCCGGAGGCCTCACGTCCGTCCGCTCCCTTCTCAGTCAGTCTGTCGACACCGTCCTCAACCTTGCAATGGACCTTCACGAGCTCCGGTAAGCTCCTCCTCCTCCTCCTTCTCCTCCTGGTCTTCCTGCCTCCTCCTGCCTTCTCCCACCCCTCCACCTCCTCCCTCCATCTTCTTCTTCCTCCACAATCTTCTCCTCCTTTTCCTTCCTGCCCCCCCCCTCTGCTTCCTCACTCTAATTCCTCGTCCTTACCTCACCGTTTCCTTCTTCCTCTTTCTTTCTGCCACTTCCACTCCCTTCCTCCTTCTCGTCCTGTCTCCTGCCGTCCCTCCTCCCCCCCTTGCGCCTCTCACCTCCCCCTCCCTCTCAAAGGTCCCAAGACTCTCCAACTGCCGCCCCTGCTGCTCCTTCTCAACCGGAAGGCACCAAGACCAAGGAGGAGGAGCGTGAAGAGGAGAAGGAGGGGGAGGAGCTACCTCCCCGCCCCTCCTCTCCCCAGCTCGTCTCCTCCAGCGTGCAAGAGGACACCCTGCTGTCTGAGCTGGACTCGGAGGACCGCAACGTCTCCTCCTCTCGAGAACTCAACCCCCATCGCATCCTCTTCTCCTCTCGCCGAGGTACAGAGATATCTCCTCCCCGACCTAACCCCCCCCCATGCAATATCTTGCTCCTGCTCCTGCTCCTGCTCCTGCTCCTGCTCCTGCTCCTGCTCCTGCTCCTGCTCCTGCTCCTGCTCCTGTCAATGGTCCTGACTTTCACCTTCAGATGGGCAGCGCCGACTTGATCGTGTTGCTCCTCGTCCTCCCGATCAGGACAGGCTGCTTCCTGGCATATCCCAGGAGGAAGAAGAGGACGAGGGAGGGGGAAGGGGAAGGAGGGGGGAGGAGGTGTTGTCGCCGGCAGGCAAGATTCTTGTCCTCAAGCTGGTGGGACTCGCTTCTTCTGGCGTTTTGTTTGACGGAGTGGCAGGGAGGAGGGAAGGAGGAGGCAGTGGGGCTGCAGGAGCAGATGGAGGACGAGCTGGCGGCATGTGCGGGGACGGCGGGGAAGGAGATGAAGGTGAGGCGAAGTGAGCAAGGAGGGGAGGATGTGAGTGGCGGTAGATGATGTACGAGGCTCCCCGGCTACCGGAGACCTGCTCCTTCCTTCGGCTCCACCATCCTTCTTGGAGGGGGAGGGAGGAGGTTGAAGAGATTAGGGCAGTTCTTGTCCGCTGCATCATGGAAGGAACTTTCCTGCGCGCTTGCTCACAAGTTCAGATCAAGGCCGAGGATGGTACTACCACCTGACCTGCCCCTCTCCTCCTCCTCTCGTCCTCCCCTTTCTCCTTGCGCTGTCATGATCCTTCTTATACACCAGCTCCTTCCTTCCAGCCCCTTCACCGCTCCTCTTCATCTTTCAGCCTCCTCCGCCTCCTCTCCTCCCCCGCCTCCGCCTCCTCTCCTCCCCCTCCTCCGCCTCCTCTCCTCCCTCTCCTCCCCCTCCTCCGCCTCCTCTCCTCTCCTTCCTCCACTGCTTTGCTTCAACCATATCATATCCTCATTCCTCTGACTTCTTCCTCTCTCACTTCTTCCTCTCTATCTTCCTCCTTGCGCTCTTTCTTCGCTCTTTTCTCACGCAACCTTCAGGTCAGTGGGTCACGCTCAAGCATGAATCTGCTCATGTGCTGACGATGGGGTAAAGTCCCTTTGCCACCTCCTCATCCTCTGCTCCCCTCCTCTTCCTCTTCCTCTTCCTCTTCCTCTTCCTCTTCCTCTTCCTCCTCTTCCTCCTCTTCCTCCCCTCCCTTTCGCTGTCCTCTTCTCGTTTCCTCCCTCCCTTCCCTTCCTCCTCCTCATTTGTTTTCAGAGGAGCTCTCGACTGGTCGCTCGAAACTCCCCACAAGGCATCGGAGACTCCCCCAGCAGCAGTGCGAGAGGAGGAGGAGGAGGAGGAGGAGGAGGAGCCGCAAACTTGCATGGAGCTCTACAGGAAGAGACACGGAGGGGATGAGATGGTTCTGACGCTCATACAGGATCCCAATGGAGGGGAAGGAGGAGGAGGAGCCAACAGAAGTTGCTGATAGTGCAGCCCAAGAGGATCTGGACCTAAATGAGCTCGAGCAGCAGGAGCAGGAAGAGGAGAGGGGGCAGCAGCAGCAGCAGCAGC